ACAGGAATCAATTTCTTATCGGAGAAAAATAGGTAAAAAATTCCAGATAAACAAAATTATTTACAACCCAATTAAATGGTCCTCTCATAAGCAGTCATCAAAATATTATTGACCAATGAAATGATTTATGGACCTTATACACAACTCTTCCACTCAATCTGTTCAAAAATGAACTTGATGAACTAATTAAATGGGCTTTTGATTAATCTAGACTTTAAATTTATTTGTTTTAATAATAAGGGAGCTACCATTTGAATTTTATGGGGGGGGGGGGGGGGGGGGGGGGGGGGGCTAGGATGAAATTTGAAAAAAAAGACAGGAGTTTTGAGTTAAAAAAAAATAGGCAGGATGAGCTACTTGGCAAAAAAAAAGGCAGGATGACAATTTATGTAAAAAAAGTAAAAAGTCAGGATAAACTAATAAAAAAAAGGCAGGACCGACCAGAGTGAAAAATAAAAAGGCAGGACAGAGATTACAGCTAAAAAAATAGGCAGGACACAGATTACGACTTAAAAAAAAGGCAGGACAAAATTTTTCATCCTAGCCCAATAAAAATCAGATGGTAGCTCCCTAAATGAACCTTTAACAAACTTTCTATGAAAATTCCACTTGGAAAGAATTAGACTAATTGATGTTAGGGTCAGTAGGTCAACAGTTAAGAACACAGTGCCTATAAAGACATTTTGAGAAGAGTTTTTGTTGAGCCTGTGACTTTTGTCGCAGAAAGCTCAACATAGGGATAGTGATCTGGCTGCAGCGGCGTTAACTATCTTCTTAAAAGCTTTATATTTTAGAAGGTGGATGACCTGGATGCTTCATACTTTGTATATAGATGCCCGTTATGTTACAAAGATTCCGTCGGTCACATGTCCATTGTCCTTGACCTCATTTTCATGGTTCAGTGACTACTTGAAAAAAAAGTTAAGATTTTTGTCGAGCCTGCGACTTTTGTCGCAAAAGCGAGACATAGCAATCCTACATTCCGTCAGCGTCGTTGTTGGCGTTGTCATTTGCGGCGGCGTCCACAAATATTCAGTCTGTGGTTAAAGTTTTTGAAATTTTAATAACTTTCTAAAACTATCCTGCATTTCAACCAAACTTGGACAGAAGCTTGTTTATGATCATAAGATAGTATCCAGAAGTAAATTTTGTACAAAAAAAAATCCTGTTTATCCGTATTTTACTCATAAATGGACTTAGTTTTTCTGCCAGTTAACATTACATTCACTCTGTGGTTAAAGTTTTTCAAATTTTAATAACTTTCTTAAACTATCCTGGATTTGTTCCACACTTGGACAGAAGCTTGTTTGTGATCATTAGATAGTATTCAAAAGTAAATTTTGTTAAAAAAAAAATCTTGTTTATCCGTATTTTACTTATAAAAGTCCATATCTCGGATACTATAAGCAATAGGTCTAGTATATTTGGTGTATGGAAGGATTGTAAGGTGTACATGTCCAACTGGCACGTGTCATCTTACCTTGTCCTCATTTTCATGGTTCAGTGGTTATAGTTAAGTTTTTGTGTTTTGGTCTGTTTTTCTTATACTGTATGCAATAGGTCTACTATATTTGGTGTATGGAATGATTGTAAGGTGTACATCTCCAACTGGCAGGTGTCATCTGACCTTGACCTCATGTTAATGGTTCAGTGGTCAAAGTTAAGTTTTTGTGTTTTGGTTTGTTATTCTTAAACTATAAGTATTAGGTCAACTATATTTGTTGTGTGGAAGGATTGACAGCTGTACATGTCTGCCTGGCATGGTTCATCTGACCTTGAACTCATTTTCATGGTTCATTGTTCAATGTTTAGTTTTCTTGGTTAAGTCTGTTTCATAGAAACTATAAGCAATAGGTCAACTATATTTAGTGTAGTGAAGGTATATGGATCTTTATGAAATTGTACCACAAGATTCCATACCACAGAAGGAAGGTTGGGCTTGATTTTGGGGCTAATTGCCCTTACTGTTTAGGAATTAAGGGCCAAAAAGGGACCAAAAACAAGCATTTTTCTTGTATCAGGACAATAACTTGTGTATAATTGTATGGATCTCTATGAAATTGTACCACAAGGTCCAATACCTCAAAAGGAAGGTTGGGATTGATGTTTGGGGTTATTGCCCAACTGTTTAGGAATTAGGGGCCAAAAAACTAGGATTTTCTGGTTTCTGGACAATAACTTGAGTATAAGTCTATAAATCTCTATGAAATTGTACCACAAGGTTCCATACCAAAAAAGGAAAGTTTGGATTGAATTTTGGGGATATGGCCCTAATAGTTTAGGAAAAGGGGGACAAAAACAAAACTTTCTAATACTTTGTATAAATTGCTTATTTCTTGACCAATTTCAATGGGGTTTAATTCAAAGTCCTCAATTCTTGGGGTTCTTTGATATGCTGAATCTAACCGTGCATTTAGATTTTGGACCCCAATTTTGAATTGGTCCATATCGAGGATCAAAGTGTCCAAAATTAAACTTTGTTTGATTTCATCAAAAATTGAATTATTGGGGTTCTTTGATATGGTGAATCTAACATGTATTTAGATTTTTAATTTTTGGGGCTTTTTTTTAAATAAGCCCACATTAAGGTTCAAAGGGTCCAAAATTAAACTTAATTTGATTTAAAAAAAAATTGAATTCTAAGGAGTTTTTTTATATGCTGAATCTAAACATGTATTTGGATTTTTGATTTTGGGCCCAGTTTTCAAGTTGGTCCATATTGGGGTCCAAAGGATTCAAAATTAAACTTAGTTTTATTTCATCAAATGAATTCCTGGGGTTCTTGATATGCTGAATCCAACCATGTATTTAGATTTTGGATATTGGACCATAATAGATAAATGTCCAATTTCAAATTTTTAAGTTCTTAGAGCACATTCATTCTGTGTCAGTAACCTATGCTATGTCAAATATTTAATCACAATCCAAATTCAGAGCTATATTGCATAGTTGATAGTTATAGTTAAAAATAGATAAAGCATAAATTCTATTTTTAGAGAAGAAATCATGTATAAATATAGTTTGAAATTTACTGTTCATTATTAGATATTTTGAAAATGATGAAACGTAAGTTTTACAGATTTTTTAAAGACATTGAACTAATGATGAATGATATTTTGTAAATTGTTTTTTTCATTTTTTGTAAATTTTTTGAAGAACTTCATAGTAGGTTTGTTTGTTATTCTGTATAAATTAATTTTAAGAATTCTATATATATAATATGGTCAGATCATATGTTTTGGTACGTCATATGAATATGTACAATGCATGCTTTCTCAATGAAATTTGTGACGTCACAATGCCAACTTAATAGCACGAAAACCCATGAGACGAGGATATATTTTTTTTTTTTGATGAAGCGATCCCCTTTAAAAACTTAGCTAATATTGTCCATTGATAAATAAATAAATTCAATTCTTGGTGTACTTGGATATGCTGAATCATATTGTTTATTTAGATTATGGATATTGGACCATAATAGGTAAAAGTCCAATTTCAAATTTTTCAGTTCTTTGACCACATTCATTTTGTGTCAAAAACCTATGCTTAGTCAAAATCCAAATTCAGGGCCGTATCAAGCTTGAATGTTATGTCCATATTTGCCCCAACTGTTCAGGGTTTGACCTCTGCGGTCGTATCAAGCTGCGCCTAGTGGAGCATTTTATTTAGCAATAAAACAGATCTTTACCAGTCTTTGTCGGATAATGTGCCTTTGGGAAAAAAGACCCATTTGATTTTGAGGTCACTTTGACTAAAATAATGGTCACAGCTGCACCAAATAGACTGAAATTTAGGCACATTTTTTGTTTCAATCATTTAACATAAATTGTCAGCAGGCTTTACAGTACCAATACAAAACACTGTTTATTCTTCTTATACACCAGAAAAAGGAGAGCAAAGCACTGTTAACAGTGGTAGTAGTAACCCTCAAGTCAATCCTTCAAGTTTCCAGGAAAAATAATTTAAATTGAATTTTCAAGAATCAGTGTAAAATAATACTCTACATATAGTTAACTAACTTGCATTTCTAAATACACAAAATAAAAAAAATTTGATGCTGCAATTCAGTACTTGTGTTTTTATTTTATGTAACTTCATGGAATCCCATTCTGATCCATGATCCAGAATAGGAAGCACCACACAATGATGATGATTCTGGATAAGTGTTTTAAGTTATCAACGTCTAAGGGCAAATATCACATGCATATCAGGAGGAGAACATGTAAATGTAATATGAATTTGAATCCTGTTTTGTACTTTACAGACATGCTGAGCTGGATTTTTAACGTGCACATGTCACCCTACCCAGACATACTATTACAACTCTGAGCAGACAGGTATATGTTTTTAATCCTAAAAGATGTGTGCTTATGGGAGAGGCAACAAATACCAATTTACAACTACAAATACAAATACAAGAACAAGAAAAACTTTAAGTATAAAGTTAGAGGATGATCTAAATATCATTTTAACCACTAACAGCAATTTCAAGGGGATTCTGACATGCACTTTTAAGCTCATCCAACCAAAATTCATTATTACAAGAATTAATTTTCTTTTTTATAATCCACACCAAACATACACTAGAGGTTATAAGGCACTTGAACTGCTCACCTGGTAATCAAATGCAATGTTTAGAATAAATAACTCATGAATCATTCCGACCTATTTGGTTCACAATTGCTTTCAAAAGAAAAAATTCTAATAGAGATTATTACTGTTGTTAAACTAGTCACCATAAAATCCTTACAAAAATTATTAAACTAAATACATAAAGGATAATTGAAAGCGGGAAACTTTGGGAAAAGCTGACAATGGAATGATGGCAATAAACAGCCCAAAGTAAAACAAGTCACCTTATCCATCTACATATTTTGACCTTAAGCCGAACAATCTTTTATTTTTAACTGATGTTTGCTTAGTGTTGTAACAGCAGATACCAATTATATCAATTATTCGTATTTGGTATTTTATTTCTAAAATTAAACTGAATCAATGAATAAAATCATTCGTTTATTTTATTACATATTATACATATAAAACACAAGTTAACTAGGGTTTCAGAGGAGCAAGTCCTAGTTTTGCTCTAAGTTCATTTGCTTCTTCAATGTTAATTTCATCCTTTGATGGCCCAAGATTGCGTTTATGATGATGTCTGTCATTACCATGATGTCTTCTGTGTCGATCACTGTCTCTACTTTTATCTTTTTCTTTGTGTTCATGTCTGTGTTTTCTTTTCTTTCTCCTACAATAAAATTCAAATATAAAATTTTATATACGAAATAACTTGGAAAAAAAATATATCAAATGTAATGCTTAATTGTGATTTTGAGGGTGTGATTGTGTTAGTTATGTAACAATTTGATTTATTTATGTTTAATTGATTTCTAGTAACAAATATTTCATACATATTGATGATGAGAACCAATTCAATATTAAACCAAGGTAGGTTCTACAAAACAGGGAGAAGGACTGGAAATTTTGACTGCCACTTAAAACAGTGCATGTTGGATACGGTAGTCGGACATTTTTCAATGAATAGGTCAACTACACCTTAAAGTAAAAGAATTATTGTAAGTGTTTCTTTTACATGAAGAGTGTGTCGCACTCTCTGAACACCAGGCTTCAAATTTAATGTTGTATGTGGCAGCATATTTGTATATGTCATAGCCAAACCAACACCTGGTTACTACTGCCTGATTCAAGACAGGTGACAATATTTCTATACTCCTGACAATCCTTAGGAACCTTTACATGTAGACTGCTGGCACTGTCCCTACAAGAGGCATCAGATTTTATATCCCCATTCCAACTGGATGTGTCTGCATATTTATACATCCTACACAGCCAAAAGGTCACCTATTGAAGAAGGATTTCTCTATCACATCTGACAGACGTCTCCTTTTAACTCAGTGAATAAATCTAAGTGAAATGGTAATTATTCAGTTATCATACAATTTTTTTATATAAATTACCTTTCATCATCATCTCTGTGTCTTTGTTCTACAAAAGAAATTCAATAAATAACAAATAAGTGAAACACTGAATTTTTGGATTTTTTTTTCAACAGATTGTGATAGGCAGAGGAGTAATGAAAGTACTGGTATTGCTGATCATTTATACTGTATACAGTATCTGTCTTTTTGATATAATTTTAAAGATAATAGGTAAAAGTGTGTAATATAGTCAGTTAAGGCCAGTAACTCCTATAAGGGGTCAATTTGTCATTTCAGTTGTATTGTCATTTTTGTAGATCTTGCATTGCTGATGATTCCTATTTTCTATGCCCAGCTGGCAAGCCTTTGCTCTTACTCCTAAATGTTGAGAAGCAGAAATACCAATTTTAAAGTCTCTGCTTTGATCAAGCTGGGGATCATAGTGCTGTAAAATAAGTTTATGACTTATATTTTTAGGGAAAATATAACATATAAACAAATACATGTATACCTCTCTTTTCTCTATCTCTTGATCTTGATCGTTTTCTGTTTCTTTCCCTGTAAAATATGCATATCAGTTCCTATAAAGTAATGTTTAGCAAAATATTGAACATGCAGTTGTTTATTAATGTGTAACATGAAAAATAACCATTTCAATCTTCACACAAGTATTTAACGTTTGTTTCAATTTTTCAATAACATTTCTTTTCCAAATCCTTTGTATTGTTTTCCTTGTCCAAATAACAATGGACGCTTTCAAGGCTAGGGATCAGTTTCACAAACATTGTATGACTTGCACACATATAAATTATGAACCTTTAATAAGAAATTACCTACACATATGTCTTATGTATGCTTTAACAGCCTCTTTTAAAAACATTAGCGTTATTTCCTTTACACAAGATAATTTGAGATAAGCGTACTTTTTAGTAGGATGAAGGTTACAGAAAATAAAAAACCCAGAAATGATCAATGTGTCTGTTATTTACAATAAATATTCTTAAAATCTCTAAAACTGGCATGATCATGAAAAATGTCACTTCTCTTTAGACAAACAATTACCTTGCAGGAGATGGATTAGACAAACAATTACCTTGCAGGAGATGGACTTCTGCGATATTTTGGTGATACCCCTCTATCAGGTCTGTCTAAATCTTTATAGTTGGATTTTCTTTTGTCTGCTGATTGATCTTTATCTTCCTAAATAAACAATAACAAATATTTCAATATGCAACAAAAATAAGAAGATAAAATTATAGCTGAAAGGAAGCATACAAATCCCTTATACACATACATACATTAATATGATAAAAGTAAAAAAAAAAAAAAAAAGAATAAAATTGTCAAAATATTTATTACAACATAAAAATTAAAGAAAAAAATGAAGAACCAGTACACACAAAGTGATTAAGTTACAAAATGAATATAGGTGATTCAAGCTGAAATATTTTTCTGTATATTCTAGAGGTAAAAATGTTTTTAAACAATTGAAGCTCACTTGTTATCTAATCACTTGAATATACTTATCAACTTTCTTTTTAGATTAAATTTTAGATTGTGGTAGTGTTAGTTGATATTAATGAATAAAATGCACAACATTTTGCATTAACTGCCGAAAAGACTTTTTTTTATAAAAATGTGCTAGGTCACATGATTTCTGACCACTTAAATGTATTATTTGTATTCCATTTAGAGATTATTACAGTAAGCACATCTAAATATCATAAATTTGATAACTAACAATGATGAATCACTTATATCTGATATAAATATTTATTTATTTTGTACACAAGGATGTCATTTCATTATCTGTGTTATTGTGTTGCTTTCTCATTGACCTATACCCCCTTTCACCTTTAATTCACATGTACTGTGGATTCATTAATATTCGTGGGATACCAATTTTCGTGGATTTCGATGTTACAGGTGATCCACGAAATTAAATGTTCAACGAATTACAAAATTTCCTATAGTTTTATGCAGACTTTGGCAAAACCACGAAATCAAATATCAACGAAAATGCAAGAATTCCTGAATCCACGAAAATTGGTACCCACAAAAATTAAATGAATCCACAGTATCCAAGACACAAAATGTAGCAGCATACATCAAAATGGTTCAATGTATTTGTTCCAATAAGAGACGAGTGCTAATAACAGTTAAATATAAAATGATTTGGCTAAAGGATAAACAAGAATGTGTCCATAGTACATGGATGCCCCACTCGCGCTATCATTTTCTATGTTCAGTGGACCATGAAATTGGGGTCAAAACTCTAATTTGGCATTAAAATTAGAAAGATCATATCATAGGGAACATGTGTACTAAGTTTCAAGTTGATTGAACTTCAACTTCATCAAAAACTACCTTGACCAAAACCTTTACCTGAAGCGGGACAGACAGATGGACGGACGAACAAACGGATGCACAGACCAGAAAACATAATGCCCCTACTACTATCGTAGGTGGGGTATAAAAAATAGTACATGATGAAAAATTGTGTATCTTCATTTTTTTAAATATGAATAGCTGATTAAAATTAAAATTAAATTTAATACCATGGCCTCTTCTTCATCAGATGTTTCCATTTCTTCTAAATCTTCTTCAACTGCACTTACTCGAGCCTCAATCTGATTGTTCTCTTCCAATATAAGTCTTTTCTAAAAAACAATTGCCATTATTTATTTATTTACAAATTGAATTGATCTAACAAGACTTAACAACATGTATATAAGTGATGTTACAAAAACTTAACTTATTGTTGTTAATCCAGGGATGATTCCACTATATAGTTTAGGGCCGCTTAGCGGCCCTTAAATCGGCCGGTGGCCCCAAAAAAATTTATGTGAATATAAATTCCCAATTCAGGAAAAATAAAATAAAAATCGATATTTCCGAAAATGTTTCCGTCATCGATTTAGGCAACTATAATTTTTCATAGTTTGTTGTCAAAACGCTTTAAAATCTGGATAAGAATGCTGTCAACGATTTCACTTTATTAACAACGATTAAATTATGTCAACATGTGGCCTAAATGATTTGATCTTATTAGAGTATTTGATCTCGTAAAAGCAGATCGCCTAGCAGGTTGATAACAAGATGCCTTTTTGTCAAAATGGTGACATCAAGGCAGACAGACAGTTATATAATATGATGAAAACTTTGTAAAAGAAATTATTTTATATTTTGTCAGGCTCTATTTCCGCAAAAGTCGTAAGTTTGAGCGTTTTTGAAAATACATGTGGATGATAGATCATTCATGAAATTATTAATACGATGTCAACATTATGGAACTGTTTCAAAAGTTGTGAAGATGATCAAAATAATATTAAAATACAATGGTTCAATGCTTTAAAATTTCCTGTTTCTTACAGAGACACCAAAAGTTAAACTATGGCAACCTTCTACAAATTAAACAGCAAGCAAAAATCACAAAATATCTTATCAATTATAAAGTTTATAATTGCTTTTCTGAATTCGACAATTGGCCAGTTCAATTTGAAATCACTTTGAATCAAGGTAAATTTATAAAAAGGTGATCTGTTGTTGAAAAAAAATACCCAAATGGATGATTTTTTCAGTGGTTTATGTTAGCTGATATATATATTATTGTAAAAGGCCTAGGTTACCATAGCTACATTGTAAGATGCAAGCCTACAAAAGATGGTGCATCATGTGCAATGATGAATGATCTTTTAATGTAACAACTTCCCTGGTCTCAATCAAATAACTGTCAAGCGATCTGGTTATCACATATATATGATATATACATCATATTCAGTAGCCCATCCAGAATTCTTCAAAATGTTACAACTTCTTACATCAGTGTACAGATGAAACTTAATATACATTTTCCGTTTTTACAGGAAAATAATGTTATTTCATCTTAGATTTTATGCATAAAAAATTCCCAATTGGGATAAAAATTCCCAATTTGATGATCAAGGGACCCATTTGAAAACAGCTGGAATCATCCCTGTAATCACAAAAGGATATTCTGTTTCCCATGAAACATAATTAAATTTCTTAGAAAAGCATTTTGTATAAACAATATGGCATAAATACAAAAAGATGTTTCTCAGTAATCACTACTTCACCTGATAAGATGTCAAATCCAACATTTTTAAATACTGTTAAAATCTTGTTAATCCATAAAAGAAAAACAAGGATATGGGATATCCATCCATGACACAAAATCAGTACATACACTGCAAAATAAACACACAAAAGCAAAGGAACAGCGCTTTTACTGCTGTTCTTCATCTCAAACTCACAGGGAGGCCTTCAACACAGAGCAAAAATAAAACTGCTTATTTTTTACATTGTTCTACATCACTTTAGTCTTACATTTAATATCAAGGTACTCTTGATTACTAATCAATTATCACATTTATGAAATTTATAAAAAAGCAAAGAAACTAAAGAGTTTATATTCTGTATAAAGGAAGAGTTATTTACATTAACCTGTTCCCAAACGTTCATTTAGTCTTCTTCTTCCTTGTAATGGATTACCATCAGTAATGTAAGATTAATTTCTATGTGGAATTATTGACTTTCATGATGCCTGACAAAAATAATCAATGAAATAAAATACCTGTATTCTTGGGAGAATGATATCACATACTCTTTCTTCATGTAATAATTCATCTATAAATTCATCCATGTGAACAAGCTCAAATTCTGTAAATTACACAAAACATAGTGTGAGAAACACTTTTTAAATCAGAAATATTTGACAACACTTTTTAAATCAGAAATATTTGACAAACTGAATTAATGTTAATTGCTCAACATCTAGTCGCAAATATTTCCTGCATATTCAGGGCCAGAACAAATAGAACAAATTATCGATTAGGTAGGTTATGTGGAAGCGGGTTGACCAGCAGGAAATTTAAATTGTCACTGGGGGAAAAAGATATAATGGGTTTGAACAGAAAATTTGCCTTTGTATAGGTCATGATATCTATGGACACATACTTAAGAGTTCTGAAAAGGTTCTTTAGTATGCAGACAGCTTGAAAATTTACCAGCACTGGGCACAGATTTGTCATACAGAATACATATATGAAACATAAAACTGAATGGGGATTTATTTCAGTTAAATAATTAACTTATTAATGACCATAGGTTCATTGTAGCCAACATTTATCTTGTTTAGATTAACAAAAGATGAAGAATTTGTGTAAAGTACATGTAGTTTCTATCATCCTTTATTGATGCTGATCTAATAATAATAAGACATATGTCACAGTCGTTGAGATTATAAAAATCTTACTTACTCTTAAAATTGATTATTATAACAAACAGTGTAATATTATCAAACAATCTTTACCTACATGACCTAAGTATTTTTGGATTAGTTGAAAACACCATTAGACTAACTTTGAAGGCAATATTTTTAAAGGAGATGTGTTATTAAAAAAAATAAGCAGTTCGTTTGATTAGGAAATTCTCTTCACAAGATAAGTAAATGTTCAACACAAAATTACTATTTATTCAGGAATCCCTCATCATGTCCACTGTATACACAGTATTCTTTTTGTTATACATGTATAGTGTACCGGTAGTAACTATTATTTGTTGAAAGTAGTATAAGATATATTTGATAGTACCTAAGTGGGGCGTTAAGATCTAATTTGTTTATTTTGGTTGTTATCTTTCTTTTATGGATTAGTAGCATTATTAATGGCGAAATTTTTCCTTTAGATCTCAAAAAGGTAATTATATAAAGCACCTCTACTGGTACTCCTGAACTTGTTGGATGTTGTTTTTTTTCTTAATCAGTGTATATCGTACCTCCTGATCTATTCTGTCTCTTTATTTTCCTGTAGTCATAATATAAAGGTTCTAAGTATTTGTAACAATCTAAAGCCGTCCCAGTTAATCTCATGTAAAGGGCACCTAATGCTCTGACATATCTGTAAATAACAAATAAATTGTAATAATATCAAGCTATGCTCATCTGTCAATACTATTCAGCTGTTTTTTTCTCTTAATTTTTATATTGTCTATATTATTATTTTTTTAATTAAATGTAAACACAAAGTGTAATTCTTACTTCTAATAGAGAATCAAACTGCGTTGACTTCTATGTGATTTTGTATAAATTTTAAAACATTTCAACATTTTTGTATGAAATGAAAAAAAGAGTATTTTTATGTTACATGTGTTAGTACATGTTTTATTAAATAAGTTCAAGTATAAAGAGACAAATATAGGAATAAAAACGTTGGAACCACATGAACTCAAAGCAGTGTGAAACCATGAATGCAGAAAGGCTATGCAAGCAACACACATCATGCGTTTCTAACTATATCCAGTAGAGAACCAGTACAAATGCATTGCAAAAATCATGAGAAAAAGTGATAATAATGTGATACAAATAATGTTTTAATATGTATTACATTGTATTAAGGTAAGGAAAACATATCTCCAGTAATCTGACAACTGAGACATTGCAACAACCAGCTAATTTGTAACTGAAGCTGCAAAAGTTGTGAAATTGTTCTTCCTTTAACTTTGCTGGATAAAGTTTTTGAATTAGAGTATGTGTCTTCTAGTTATGTTATAATAATAAGAATATAATCTTTAATATAATAAAACTTGCACTTTAAAATGGAGTAATGGTATGATTGCCACTGAGACAACTATCCACCAGACACCAAAGGATGTAAACAACTAAAGGTCACATTACAGCCTTCGACAATGAGCAAAACCCATACTGTATAGTAAGCCATAAAAGATACCAGCATGACAAAATGTTAAAAAAGAAAATAAGCAACCTGAGTTCTGAAAAACTGGCAATCCTAATCAATTATGACCGGAGTGGACACACCTTGCAACAAGCAGGTTTCAAACCCATAACATCATTGTTGACAGGCTAGTGATCACTATAGTAGATAAACTACTAAGACCACTTAGCCACTAAGCCCCCTTCAAACAATATACAAATTGTAATCCTTACAATTCACATGTACAACAAATGTAAAGGATATCTATGGTATAGTATGATTAAAAAATTCGTAAGGGTTCCACAGAACCCAGTGTCTCGCCTACTTTTGCTGTTAATCGCAGGCTCAACAAAAATGAGGAAAAGAATCAATAAAAATATTCCTTTAGATACTATCTTTTGATTGTAAGAAGCTTCTGTCAAAGTTTGGTATAAATCCAGGATAGTTTATGAATCTAATAAATGTTTTAAAAACTTTAACTGCTGACTGTATTTAATGTTAACTGGAAGAAAAACTAAGTCCATTTATAAGTAAAATACAGATAAACAGGTACAAAATTTTAACAAAATTTCCTTCTAGATACTGGCTTTTGATCATAAACAAGCTTCTGTCCAAGTTTGGTACAAATCCAGGATAGTTTAAGGAAGTTATTAAAATTTTAAAAACTTTAACCACAGAGTGAATGTAATGTTTCCCGGCAGAAAAACTAAGTCCATTTATAAGTAAAATACGGAAAAAATGAAATTTTTTTTCTAACAAATTTACTTCTGGATACTATCTTATGATCATAAACAAGCTTCTGTCCAAGTTTGGTACAAATCCAGGATAGTTTAAGAAAGTTATTAAAATTTTAAAAACTTAAACCACAGAGTGAATATTTGTGGACGCCGACAACAACGGAATGTAGGATCGCTATGTCTCGCTTTTTCTACTAAAGTCGAAGGCTCGACAAAAATGCAATTTTAACATACTTGAAAGTTTCATTTCTAATGAATTCTACTACAATATCTTTCTCTGGCTGTATCTGTAACATCTTTAGTACCAAGCATAAAAATGGTGTTGGTTTGATGTTTCCTCCAAATACACCACCTACAAATTTTAGATCCATAGCTTTGTCCACCATTAACTCCGCTTTAAAAATAATTATACATTACTTATTACAAATAGAAATGCAACAAAATAATAAACAGTAAATGGGCTGTTTCTTCAAGAATGTCAGTCTGACAGATGCTACATGAACGCCATTGAAGAGCCTGCAAAAGTGTAATCTCATTTACATGTATACAATGTATATTTGTCATGCTATATCAGTTGCTATAAATTATAGAATTATACTTCATTTTATAACTTAAAATCTGGTACAAAGTTTCTTGAATCTCATCATACACGTGTAATATAATATATGGCAGGTGCTACTTGATGAGCTCCCAAATATTACTTTTCGAGTTATAAGATATATAAATTTGCCGGAAATAGTATGATTTATATTTCTTTTGTTATGAATTGCTATTTTCCTGGATGATAAGATGATGTTTCAGCTCATATAAAGAGAAAATTTGTGGACTTATTTCATTGTAAACTCAACAGTTCTCCAAGATAGTGGAGGAATAATATTACAACAGAACACTGCAGTCTTATCGCTGAGTGGCAGCCCAGGCTTGTAATATTGCTCTCGGGCCTGTAAAAATCATATCTACAAGCCAACAGAATCTAACTAAATATTTTCAAAAATTGAGCTCAGGGCCTGTAGATTTAGCAGTTCATCGTGAAGACTGGAACAGAACAGGTAGTACCCAATAGAGACCATAAATCAACACTTCTATCGTTTATGCTCCTATTGTGTGCATGTTATTGAAATTGGCAGTAAATGTGAGAGGCCAGTTAGTTTAACTTTAATTTAGTCTGTTAAATAGCTTGAAAACATCTGAAAATCATTTGATAAATACAATTCTCAGAAGTGATTGATTGTATTCTTTTTCAACATAGTTTACAGCAGAGATCTCCATGGATGAAAATTTGAAGATGGATAAACTCTAACCAGGACAAAACCTGTGTGTCATGATCGAAAATATTTCATTCCTACATTTCATTGTAAGGAATAGCATGAATAGAGAATAGACTGATATATTGTTTATTGTATTCCTTTCATTATACAATAACCAATATTTTCATTAATTGTCATTCGTAACAATTCCAATATCAAGCCTGCATGACTCCTCTTCGTCAAGGATAATTCAGCTGTCCTGTTCACCTACATGTAGTTAACTTCAAAGTTTTTTTCCTGTCAGAAGGTTCCCAGAGTCGTTTTCTCACTATTTTGGTAATTTTGTTAGGACTAAAAAATGGGGATAGGATTTCATATGCATGACAGAATTTATTTTTGTAGCTTTAAACTAAGCTACAAAAATATTTTTTGTCATGCATACGATTTCACCTGGATACATGTAGATGCACACGCCTGATGAAGCTAGTTTGTCTAGCGATATATTGTGTATATCTATTTAAAATCTAATAGAACTTTTTTCGTGTATCAATTAGCGTGTTTCAGTTGTATCCTTAGACATTTATATACATATATAAATGTATATTTACCTTTTGAGTCTGAAATAAAGATTATCTTATCTTATACAGTTATAATTTGTTTACCTGTAAGAGCAAAACATTCTTCTTTCCAGTATTTACATTCATAAATACGAGTACGAATAATTTTCTCCACAAGGTACTGTGGGTTTGTTCCTTTAATGGAATGAGCATCTTTAACTGTCCTATTTGCCATTTAGAAGCAGAAAATGCTTCTATAACAGCGGTGTTGCACTGTTTTCCTTGCCAAAACGAATTATTCAATGTCAAATCTAATGGTGAATTATGACGATAAATCTTCCTAATTTGAAACGCAAACAAGACTTTAAAGGTTTTCTCGGACTGGATCAAATAGTCTTGAGAACTGCGCATGGCTATAGTCTATTTTTAATATATCTCACGAATACTTAAACTTGTAAAATTATCAAAATTTAACATAAAAAAGTGTTCGGAAATAGAAAATTAAGGTATAATACTTTTATTTTTTGTATTCCAATCATAAACATAGTCCCAATTATTTCTTTTGTGTAGATAATAATTTTCCTGGAATAGACTTTATGGCGGGAAATTTCCAGTAAAACAGCTGATTGATAAACAAAATGCCTGTAAAGAAATATTTTCCCAGAAAAGAAATTAAAAGGCTTTGCTTGGCCAGCAAATTTGAAGTGGACAAGAGAAACTCATCATATAAACATTATAAGTTAGTTTTTGACACACCATGAACTATTGAAAAAAACACAAAAAAGCTAGATGTTACCTTTGTTTTAGACACAAAATTTTTTTACAACATGTACAAACCTCAACAACTTTGTAAAAAAAAATGAGAAAAAAATACAAACGACAGTCTGAGTTTCTGTTTGCATATGGTCCGTCAGTCGTGCCTTAAATGTCTGACTGATATGGTTTGTGTTGGGCCGAAGAAAAAAATGAAAATTATGGCGGCCTTGTTGTACAGCTCCCTATTATTTCAGTGCTTTTCCAGCTAAAGGATTCATGTTGAAATGATGTAATGCATTTGTTCCATTGTTCATTTATCTCTATTCTGCTGCTTCAGTTCCATAAATATTACTTAAAACGACACTACAATTGGAATTTACTTTTTGATTTACATATATAATTAATGTTACGGTACCACCATCTTTGACCCAAAACCGAATGTATAATGAAAAAAAAATATGGGTATAATCAGATTTTTCACTTCCCATGCATGCAATGGAACTACCTTATCAAGAAACTCAGAATTTTACCAGTATCAAGGTTTTAGTCATGACTAATATTATAGTTATGACAGTATTGTGATGAAAGACAGTGATTTCTAAATAAGTCAATGAATCAGTCATTTTCAATTGTCAAGCCTTTTTAGGGATAATGGATTATTTGATAAATTCAAGCGGCTGAATTCAGATAAATATATCATTAAAAGAATTTAGTGCAATTACAAACTGTGGAATCACACATTTTCCTACAAACTGTCCCTGCACCAGACAGTCAGACTGATAGAAACAAAAGTATTGGTCCAACATTAATTTTGTCTGTAAGGACCACCAGACCAATGATGTTTGGCACAGACTGAAACAGTTCAGTTCAGTTCAAATGCTTTATTTATAGACGAAATCAGTGTACAGAAAACATAAGCTCTATTGAGCTTTTATATGGTTTATTACAAACAAAACAATTAAAACATGCACGTTTAAAACAAAGCAAGCATGCTACATACACAAGAGCTACACAAAGCAAATCATTACATTGATTTGATTTTGATTTTTGGTGTTTTAACGCCACTTTTAAGCGCCGCTTTTGGGCTATTTCGTGGCGGCCAGTTTTTATTGGTTGAGGAAGCAGGATTGCTCGTCGAAAACCACTGACCTTTGATAGGAAAACTGACAATCCTAGTCAATTAAGATTGGAGTCGAGTGCACCCGCACGAGCGGGGTTCAAACTCACAACCTCAGTGTTGACTGGCTAGTGATTACAGTAGTAACTACTTAGACCACTCGGCCACTGAGGCCCCCTCATTACATTGAAGCATACATATACAATATTAATGATATGAAGAAGTTAAATATGTTATACTACATGTATGCAGAAATATTAAAAGCATATAAAGCACTTTAAAACACATAAACAATTGTAGTATATAAAGCAGAAAAAAAGCACTAAAAATTAAAGCATTAACTATTTGCAGGCATTGCATTGGCATGAACTACCATTCCAGGTAACAATAAGTTTAGAAAATTGGTTAAATTGTTTTCTTCTCTAAAACTCTGGGGTAGTGCATTCCAAAATTTGCAGCTGTGTATCAAAAAGAATTGATGCCCTATCTTGTTGTTCTCACCTGGGACTGTTCAACTGTATATCTGAAGGAATATTTGTGATTTTTTTATATTAATCAAATCATGTAAATAATATGGACTCTTTTTGTGAAAACGTCTAAAGGTGTAATACCACCAAATCATAGTACGTCACATCCGGTTGCATACGAAAATAGGTCGAAAAAAAATATTCCCTTGAATTTGACAGTTGCAGGTAATTGATCCTACATTTCATTGCAGTAAAACATTTCTGAGTCATAAACATATATCTTGGGTATTTCAAAGCACCATTATTTCTTTATTTGGGGTTTCTATAGAATATTTTGGAAACTTGAGGTTACATGGTTACTAAAGCTTGTACACAGGTTAAAAAAGGGGGGAAATTTGATTGGTTAACTTCCAGTGACGGTTATTTTCTTATATGCAATGAAATGTTATGTGAAATTTTTTCTATAGTACTGGACAGGATAAATCTTTACTCATGCCAAGTATTTCTTTATTTGAAACAAAGAGAAATTCTGCACAATTTTTTGAAAAGTGCAAATTTAACAAAGACTAATAGGGGAAAATCAATGGTGGTATTACACCTAATATGGGAAGCTGTACATGCACCTTTGACCTTGTGAGTACTCTCATGTGTTAAAATTTCTTGCTATTTAAGTGAAATATTACAAATAATGAAATATTCTGAGTGGATTGAGTCTCCAAAATACATTTTATGAGAAAATTTCCTTGAAATAGGATTTTACCATGAATATTAGTTGACAGAACAAGCCATACTTAGAGTTTTGGGGAGCTTTTTCTCCTTATTTCTTATATTCTGCTGTACTAGAAAATTTATCCTAAGAAATACTTTAATAAATATATAGTTTTAAGTAAATGAAATTATTTTTAAAGCAGTAACAACAAATTATTCACCAAAAAAGAAGTTTTTTATGTCCCTCTCTGGAACGCGGCGTAAATTTAATTTTTACGTAAGGACTTATTGAAACCTCCTTGGAGACAGTAAACTTTTATACGGATAGTTCATTCAGCTTGAATACTTCAATTAATCATTTATAATAACATTTCTATCATAAATGAGTGAAAGTTACCCCAAAATTTTTATTTATTGGCCTAAAAAGTAGAAATTTTGAGGAAATGAGAGGTATAAATGGACCAAAAGAGACCTTATAAAGAAGACAAAGAGGTCCATTAGTAGTATTTATCATCCTAAAGTCATCTTTTGTATCATATTCAACTGTTTGTAGGCAGATGAGATAAATATTTGATCATTTATTGGTCCACACTATATTCTATCATGATGCGGCTTGGTTTGGATTTTTCGAAGAAATTTTGCTCGAATCGCTGTAGATGTCGTCTTACATTATACTAGATTTTTCTCAAACTATTGAACTGATTATGACAAAACTTGACAGGAATGCTTGAAATAACCAGTATTACAAAGGAAAAAAGTCACATTCAGTTTATTTAACAAAAAAGTCTTCTTTAGGTGTAATACCACCAAATCATAGTACGTCACATCCGGTTGCATACGAAAATAGGTCGAAAAAAAATATTCCCTTGAATTTGACAGTTGCAGGTAATTGATCCTACATTTCATTGCAGTAAAACATTTCTGAGTCATAAACATATATCTTGGGTATTTCAAAGCACCATTATTTCTTTATTTGGGGTTTCTATAGAATATTTTGGAAACTTGAGGTTACATGGTTACTAAAGATTGTACACAGGTTAAAAAAGAGGGAAAATTTGATTGGTTAACTTCCAGTGACGGTTATTTTCTTATATGCAATGAAATGTTATGTGAAATTTTTTCTATAGTACTGGACAGGATAAATCTTTACTCATGCCAAGTATTTCTTTATTTGAAACAAAGATAAATTCTGCACAATTTTTTGAAAAGTGCAAATTTAACAAAGACTAATAGGGGAAAATCAATGGTGGTATTACACCTAAAAATCGTCTCAAAGAAAATCTTCAGATACAAGTTAAATAGCATAATCCCCACAAAAAACTGGATGAACATGGGGCTCAGGAAGGTCACCAGTTCTTGCTCAAAGAGGTTGGAGAAGATCATTTATGGGTATTATACCCCAAAACAAGTATTGCTTTTCAATGTTCAAAATATGAACTTTGGATTTCAAAATACTTTTTGTCATGGCTGAAACATTCATGTAAATGGATATATTTTGTTAGCACTGTTAAAAGTCCAGACTGTTTAGGAACATTCTAGTCCAGAATATTTCCCCCGATATATTTATATAAGAAACTTTTAAAAATCAGATCATTCACCTGTACATCATATGTGTACAGTGTACCTTCCTAATTTTTTCCACCAGGAGGCAGGGAACAAGTATTTTTTTTATGTTTGCCAAATATAATTAAATGAAACATTTTCTTGTCAATACAGATGTCAAATCTAGCTATTAAATGTACCTGAAACTTGTAAATAAGAAACAAACATGAAAATCAGTAGCAAATTAATTTTAAATGTAAAATAGAACATCATGAAAAATAAAACGGGTCAGATATAGAGCAGTATAGTGTTTAGGATCTAGCTGGTTTTTATGGCAACATATACAACTGAAAATAAGCTAAATAATTAAATACTGAAATAATTAAATATAAACAGATTTGTGAGTTTTTATCTTGTATATATTTACAGATCATTTACGTTAGATGATGAGCAGTACATTGTGGGTGATTTTGTTTTGATTGCAAATGATGAAAATGGAAATGAAAACTTGGAGTCTAAAGACACTGCTTTTACAGCACAAATTAAAGATGTTATTGAAAAGGGTAGGAATCTGAAAATAATGTTTTGGTATCAATGAATGCTGATTTAATGGCCTATTGAGTAACATTAGATGGCCTACTGATGAACATGAACTATTGATTTGGTGGCCTATCGATTAACATGAACACTGACTTGATGGCCTATTGATCACATGAACACTATTTTATGGCCTATTAACATGAACACTGATTAATGTTCTATGAACATAAATGCTGATTTAATGGCCTAACATCATTTGAATTTACTTAGAATACTGCAGGGATCCACTTATTCAGTGATTTATTATTTTAGGAAATAGATGTCATGTATACATAACTTGACCTGTTTTGTATTTTCTTTGACGATCTTATGATCGCATATGAATGAAAAGTGAAAACATAGGCTGGTAGGTTTGTATTTGGAATAGTGAATTGCAGTGACAATTGACATGTCCTTCTGCAGAGTATTACCATGTTACCTTTAAAGTTCATAGCAGAGTCTTACTTGTCAACATTATCTCATTCTAAAAGGTTACCTTGCTGATCATTCAAATGTGAACTGGGCAGATAGTTGTCATTCTGAAAAGTTACCATGCTGAACATTTACTGGGCAGGTGAATGAATTTTTGGTGTGGAATTCCTACATACATGTTTAGGTGTGTAATTAATTTTTTATGAAATATTTCAGAATACAAGACAAAGTCAAAAAAGAAAGAAATTGTTGCAGTGGTTACATGGTACTGGAGACGAGAAGAGCTACCTGATTCACATCTAGCTTCGATTGAAGCTCATCCATTTGAAGTTTTTAAGAACTTAACTAACATCCCAGAAGAGATTGATCCTGAAACCATATTAGGAAAATGTCAGGCAAGTATCCTTTAGTTGTTAATGAGCAGGAGGTCATCTCACAGGTACATATACTAATACGATCATGGTGAAATGTAAGTCATGTTCTCAAGACTTTAATTTGTGCACATATTTAGAAATTTAAATGTCCTTGCAAAAAGATGTCAGGGAGAGAGGGGGGGAGGGTCATTTGGTAAAACAGTTCTCAGATCATATATCATGAGTTGTTTCCTATCGACATCTTAAGTTGCCCTTGAAAAAATTATTTGAAGTTTGAAAATCCACGAAGGGCAATTTAATACATATGAAAACTGAAATTTATATATTTTTCACTAATGGAATTCCAGAGTTTTACCTTTGCAATGTGGAAAAATATCAAATGTAAGGTTTCTGTTAAATTCCTGCACTATGTGTTAATGAGATCATTTTTATCTCGTTTATTGAAATTAACAATTAACATGATTAATTTTTAGCCTCCAGCCAACCAATGGAAAAAAAAATCTCTATATATATATTTCATGTTTATGACATTAATGTAACATTTTAGGTATATCTAATAATAGAATAATTCTCTGAATTGCATATAAATTAAAAAGGGTTCTTCAGCGAAAGCATATTGTAGTACAAAAAATGTACTTATTTTATTAGATGTAATTCTGTTTTTATTGCAGATAGAAACAAAAGCTGTGGATGAAATGAAAACTCTGAGCAGTCGTCAGAAAAAGAATGAGCAAATGAAATTTTATGTATCACGATCATACAATGGAAAATATTTTATTCCTTTAAAACAATCAAATAAAACAGAAAAGGATAGCAAGATAAGGAGACAGTCTATGCCTGCACATATTAATGGAGGTGACAATATAGTAAAAGCGTTTTCAAGAAGAAGTTTGAATAATATAAACATTCAAGATAATGAATGTAAGAGCTCATTGTCCCCAGTAAAACCTCTACAGTCTGTTGTAGCTAAAGAAGTAGAAAAAAGTAAGTATAAAATGCTTTCCTGACAATCAGACTGAAGATTTGAGTTTAATATTAAAAGTCATTGAATATGGTTATTAATAAGTAAAAAATCAAGTTAACAGTGTACATATGTCTTTTAAGGAGATAATAAAAATATTTACAAAATTCAACAATGATCTCTGTAAAAGTATGTTGACCAAAGTGTTGAGTTCCATTCGTGAGCCAAAAAAATATTCTCATTTTTTGTTATTTTATTGAAAAATGAACTTAGTTTTTGGCAGTCAGCTTTGCACTTTTACACTGACAGCAGCAATCGCAAAAAAAATCATGATTTTAAGCCCGGTTACAAAATTATAAATGCTTTTGTAATCTTTCTCCCTTTGAAATAGTGTCACAATAGACATGACAGATTGATGAATATTAGAAATACAAGTACAAAGTATAGTATATATGAATTTAGGAGATGTGGAGTAGACTAAGATAAGGAAACAACAGTCAAACACCAAAATGTCTTAAAAATATGCCAAGCACTTAATTTGAATTTATTTGTTTTAGAACTAATTAGCCCGAAAGCTTATGGAAATAAATATGCATGTTTCAAGGGAGAAGATGTCACAAAATTTCTCATGGATGACGATGCTTTTGATACAGTGTCACTTATATCAGACAGTAGTAGTACTACCAGTAGTTCATCTAGTGCTAGACGAAAATCTTCAAGACTTTCTATTAATAGTAACATTCAAAATGAAGATAGGACTTCAAATGATAATTTGATTGTAAAACCAATTAATAAATCAAGTCCAGCAATTTTGAAAACACCTAAAAGAAAACTTAGTTCGTCTTCAGTAGAAAGTTCATTGTCATCGAAGAAATGTCGGACTGAACCAAAAAGACGATCGGTTTCATTTGCCCATGCAGATTTAAAAGCAAAAACTGTTAGTAAAATACAGAAACAGAAGGTTGTACCAACAGTAGTATTGAGAAAAGTTCAAGATCAATATATCTCATTCCGTAATCAGACTCCTGAAAGTGTAGACAGGCCTGTTACAACTAGAAGAAGTCTGGGAGAAACATTTACAAAAAATGATACACCAAAACAAAACAGGAGTTTACGACAACGAAGGTATTGTTACTTAAAATCAGATTTATGTTTTGTCAAATTTTCAAATTCTGATTAAGTTTGGCTTAAGGGTTTCTTACAAATCTCTTTTCAATTTAGATTGATTTCAAACTATTTACCTTTTTAATGGGAATTGTGCGTGATGTATGAATTATTGTCAAATACAGATATAATTTGATGAATCAAACACACCGTTCATTCATTGTGTGAAGTATTTTTATGGTATTATTTTACAAAGCAGTCATAAAACTTACTTGTGCTATTATTCTATATATTTGTCTGCTAGTTGCTTGTTCGTCAAGTTCAAGAATGTGTAGGTTAATACAGAAAGTATAAAGTTTAATAAAAGAATTTTAAAAATACATTTTTCAGGGGTTCATTGATTTATGAACCAGTCCAATTCACTAACAAATAAAAAAAAATTGATGTATTTACCTCATATAATTCTTGGACTATTTAATCATTTGTTTTGAAAATATACCTTGGGGATCTTCAGTGTGAAACAAAATGTAGCACATTCTTTGGTTTATGTCATGCATGATGAATATAGAGTGGAATCAACACAGATAATTAAGCGGCATATAGTTTTAAATGGTTACATTGTCTGATGAATACAGTCTATGATAAAGTAGTCTGCCATATAGTCATTTAGAAGTGGAAGCACTTGTAACCAGCCATAGAAAAGGTTCCTAAGGCCAAAATTAATTATACTTTTTTTTAGGGATTCCCTGTCTATCCTTTTTATGCCTCAGTCTCAAATTAAACACAATAAAAAAAAGAATTCATACCCATCTACTCTATTTTCCTTAAGGAGGAATTACTAACAGCATACTATTTTGATTAATAATGCTTATCATATTGATTAAATATGTGTAAACAAAAATAATTTAATTTATTGTGGTGGAACCTTTCAGGAAGATAGATTATAATGAGGCTACGGGAAAAGTGGACTTCGGTTTGAATGATTCTAATGATGTATTTGTAATGGAAGAAGCTAGTGATAGTGACAATGATAGCCTTGCTAGTCTCAAACAACGAAGTAATAAGAAGAATTCAAGAAGTAAATCAACACCAGATAGTGATAGTGACAATGATAGCCTTGCTAGTCTCAAACAACGAAGTAATAAGAAGAATTCAAGAAGTAAATCAACACCAGATAGTGATAGTGACAATGATAGCCTTGCCAGTCTCAAGCAACGAAGTAATAAGAAGAATTCAAGAAGTAAATCAACACCCGATAGTGACAGTGACACTGATAGCCATGCTAGTCTCAAAAGACAGAGTAATAAGAAGAAAGCAAAGAGTAAATCAACACCAGTGAGTATATGATACAAGACAATTTTATTATTTAACAGCAATAAACTATAAACAGATATACACAATATTTCAGAATTAAAAATTTAAGATCTCTATGCAAAAGAATTTTTGTGTCAAATATTTACTAATGTTTCAATTATCAAAATTTCTTCTTCTATTTGCAAAGGTTATAATTTTTACTTCCAGTTGTAGTTTGACATTGCAACACTGATTTTACATGTACATTTTAAACATGGATACCATTTCATAATATAAACCTGCCTGGAAAGGATGACATTTGATGTTTGTCATGTTTGTGCCGCCAGAAATAGATTGATTTGTTTTTTAAAAGGCAAACAGTCATTTTCAGTAATACTTTGTGTTGACTGCATATTTATTTACAGCAGAATGCCTTGAGTGTGTAGGTAAAGGTAGAATTTTTGGTTAGCTTGCTTGTTAGCTGAACCGTGAAGTCATTATAAGGTTAAGTATACTACCCTCCTTTCGGAGTAGTCTAGTCCTACAGATAGATAGGTTGGTTATCTGTCGCACTAGTCTAACTCTTAAAGGAGGGTAGTTTACCTAACCTAACAATGACTTCACGTTCAGCAAACAAGCAAGCTAACCTAAGATATTACCTTTACCTACACACTCAATGCATTCTGCTGTAATTGAACATGGCAATATAGTATAGGCCTCTTAAAGACAGGTCATCAATAAAAACTTTTTTACTGTTTACATCCAATCTTTGTGAAGTAGGTAAATATCAAGTATGAATATTAAATTGATTGATATCTCATGGAAAACATGTCTCATTGAAATTGTGGTGCATGCTTAGCAAATTCCAAAATTAAGTTAACTTCAAGAAATTAGGAACTTGATATGAATTTCAACCAAGTCTTATAAATATGTTTTTAACAGAATCGTAGATCTACTGCAAGTGAGGTAACACCACATATCCCTGGCAGATCACGACCATTGATGTCACCGTCAAGTGTTTTGGAAGAGGCAAGAGCTAGGTAAACCTACTAACTTAAGTCTTTACTGATCAAAATTAAAGATTACTGTTTGTATTTTTATTGATTGATAGATTATTGTTTGCTTAACATCCAGTGACTTATATTTTGAATGATACCGATATGGAACTTCCAGCAAATGCTGATCTTTTGCAGAATTATATAAACAACATTTTAAAGCATACCATCATAGATCAATTATTCATGGTGAGGCTGAAATGAAATTTTGTTTTATAGGGGTTTGGTGTACATTAAATATGATATCTACTTAAAAACAAAAAAAAATCTTTCAGGTATTAACTATACATAGATTGCTTGACCTTAATCTTCTTGTTCTAACAGTTAAAACATGTTGAGCAGAGATATACCTGTTAATTGTTTTAACTAATGGTTTTGGAATCATATGTACTAAATACTGTAGGAGGATGAGTGCGTAAACCCAACAAGGAAATTCTGTATGTTAAAATTTGAATTCAATGCTATGTAATGAAAACATGTTTTGCAGGTTACATGTGTCAGCAGTACCTGATTCATTGCCATGTAGAGAAAAGGAATTTGAAGATATTTTTAGTTTTGTAGAGAGTAAAATATTAGATGGAACTGGAGGGTATGGTTATTGATAATAAATATTACTATATGATTGTTTGACATCAACCTTTTACTAGCCCACCATAATGTTTCTGATAAAATATGATATTTTCCTCGCATGATGTAATGCATGGTGCATGTACTGCTTTGACACCTTGCACACAGGCATATTGAAAACATTTTTTTCCATTTTTGATGGAAATTGGTTTTGCTAGAGAAAATCTAAACCAAAAATATGCTTTTTCTTTTAATATTAAAATCCACGAAAAAAAATGCTTCAATTATTTATGTTATCACACAAACCTTGTAAAATGTATTTGTGGACTTGTAGCATATTTGCCTTCAGTGCAGGTTGTGGGTTCAATTCACAAGTAGGGCAAAAAAAAATACTTGATTGTTATCTTCTGAGCTAGCACATAAGAATTCTAATCTAATATAATAAGTCTTGTACAAATCGGGGTGCGTATTCATGTCACAATAACATGTTCTCTTTTTGAATATCATTGAAAGATTGCTCATCCATTCCTCACCCAAGTTAAATCAAATTATATTTTCTTTTTCTTGCTTTTTTAAAATCATGAAAAGTATTTGGCAACAAGAATAGATCACATTCAATTTTTTTTAGTACATATGAGAAAATAAGAAGATATATATTACTTGTCTAGTGGTAGCTTCCTAAAACTCTGTATAATATACTATTGCCCAGAAATTTAGAAACGATCCTGGTAAACTTATCGATCCTTTAAATAAACTTATTCTAAAAGGTTACCAATTCAACACTGTAATTAGATCATTAAATATTGTTTTTATTGGTACTAAACTGTTATCAGTAAATTAAAGCAAACTAAATATTATTGTTATATACATATACACATTCATGGATCTACAATCTGTCGATACCTGTATCTTGGCATTGCACAAGGTCATGTTTTCTCTGACTGTTTATGATGTCTTTACACTAAATCCATTGGATGTTGGATGTGTACGGATTGATAATTTAGTCTTAGATGCATGATTTTTTTTATTAGTTGTTAGTGGCTTTGAACTAGCTGTCAGTAACTGCCAGTACTATCAGATCTGTACTTAGTGTCTTTTTGTTGTTTGGATGTACAAGTACCCGGCCACGTCCACTTGTATTTGTAGTATTTGTATTTTTATCCACCTGATGAGTTAAACCTCTTTCAATTGATTTTTATACGACCGCAAAAAAATTTTGCGATCGTATATTGGTATGACGTCGGCGTCGTCCAAAGACACATTGGTTTTCACACTCTAACTTTAGTTTAAGTGAATGGATCTCTATGAAATTTTACCATAAGGTTCAAAACCACAAAAGGAAGGTTGGGATTGATTTTGGGGGTTATGGTACCAACAGTTAAGGAATTAGGGGCCAAAAATAAGCATTTTTGTAACTTCCAGACATAACTTGTGTGTTAGTGTATGGATCTCTCTGACATTGTACCACAAGGTTCCAAATCACAAAGGGAATGCTGGGATTGATTTTGGGGGTAATTGCCTCAAAATTTTAGGAATTAGGGGCCAAAAAGGGGCAAAAAACAAGCATTTTTCTAGTTTCATGATAATAACTTGTGTGTAAGTGTATGGATCTTTCTGAAATTGTACTACAAGGTTCCATATCACAAAGGAAAGCTGGAATTGAGTTTGTGGGTAATTGCCCAACACGTTTAGGAATTAGGGGCCAAAAATAAGCATTTTTCTAGTTTCCAGACAATAACTTGTGTTCAAGTGTATGGATCTCTCTGAAATTGTACTGCAAGATACCATACCACAAAGGGAAGGCTGGGATTGATTTTGGGGGTAATTGCCTCAAAATTTTAGGAATTAGGGGCAAAAAACAAGCATTTTTCTAGTTTCAGGACAATAACTTGTGTGTAAGTGTATGGATCTTTTTGAAATTGTACTACAAGGTTCCATATCACAAAGGGAAAGCTGGGTTTGAGTTTGGGGGTAATTGCCCTAAACGTTCAGGAATTTGGGGCAAAAAAGGGGCCTAAAAACAAGTATTTTTCTAGTTTCCAGACAATAACTTGTGTTCAAGTGTATGGATCTCTCTGAAATTGTACTGCAATCTACCATACCACAAAGGGAAGGCTGGGATTGATTTTGGGGGTAATTGCCCAACATGTTTAGGAATTAGGGGCCAAAAATAAGCATTTTTCTAGTTTCCAGACAATAACTTGTGTTCAAGTGTATGGATCTCTCTGAAATTGTACTGCAATCTACCATACCACAAAGGAAAGCTGGAATTGAGTTTGTGGGTAATTGCCCAACACGTTTAGGAATTAGGGGCCAAAAATAAGCATTTTTCTAGTTTCCAGACAATAACTTGTGTTCAAGTGTATGGATCTCTCTGAAATTGTACTGCAAGATACCATACCACAAAGGGAAGGCTGGGATTGATTTTGGGGGTAATTGCCTCAAAATTTTAGGAATTAGGGGCAAAAAACAAGCATTTTTCTAGTTTCAGGACAATAACTTGTGTGTAAGTGTATGGATCTTTTTGAAATTGTACTACAAGGTTCCATATCACAAAGGGAAAGCTGGGTTTGAGTTTGGGGGTAATTGCCCTAAACGTTCAGGAATTTGGGGCCAAAAAGGGGCCTAAAAACAAGCATTTTTCTAGTTTCCAGACAATAACTTGTGTTCAAGTGTATGGATCTCTCTGAAATTGTACTGCAATCTACCATACCACAAAGGGAAGGCTGGGATTGAGTTTGGGGGTGATGAATCATAAGGGGGTTCAAAAAATTTGGGGGAGGGATTTTTTTTTCCTTTTTTCTTTCTTTCAAATTTTCCATTTTAAATTGGTTATTTCTGATTTATATATAAAAGCAAATAATAATGATATGGTTTGAATAGGTAAATTAAAATTTTTTAAGTTCTTAGACCACATTCATTCTGTGTTAGAAACCTATGCTGTGTCAAATATTTAATCACAATCCAAATTCAGTGCTGTGTCAAGCTTGAATGTTGTGTCCATACTTGCCCCAACTGTTCAGGGTTCGACCTCTGCGGTCGTATCAAGCTGCACCCAGCGGAGCATTTTATTATAGTTTGTTCTTATGTTGTACTGTTACACCACTGTCCCAGGTTAGGGGGAGGGTTGGGATTCCGCTAACATGTTTAACCCCGCCACATTCTGTATGTATGTGCCTGTCCCAAGTCAGGAGCCTGTAATTCAGTGGTTGTCGTTTGTTTATGTGTTACATATTTGTTTTTTGTTCATTTTTAGGCAGTTAAGCTGCCTTATGCGAGCACCCTAGATTTGTGTTCTACCCAATAAATGCTGAAATACGTGCCATTGTTATTATCTAGCTGGCTATTATGTTATTTATAACTAATTGGACATTTTTTTAATACTTTTATTTCTGGAATACAAAAAATATGACCAGAAAAACCTTAAATGATCGTCGAACTACCCAAAACTTTTGAAGTTGCACATAGGAAGTAGTGCTCAATAGAAATCCGTACGTAGTTTATTATCCCCTGTGCTTTTGGCTACGATGTCAAAGAACAATTGTATGAAATATTTCATCGCCGAAAATCGGTAATTACAAGTCGTTTATATTTCCCAAATGGCAAAATGCGCAGGAATATTGTTCATGTACAACAAATCTCTATGATAGAGGAAATAAAGTTATATAAGTGGGTGGTAATTTCTAACTTATCTTGCCAAATAAGGTTGTTGTTATTTTATGAATGAAACGAGGTCATGAAAACAGATGCGGAAATCGACGTTGATGGGATGTTTTAAGTAATGTGGACAACTCGTCCCCTAGACAAGTCGGACCGAATCCACTCAAACCGTCTAAGAGGACAACTTTGACCGTTTGTCAGATTTACTTAGGGTTTCATAAAAATATGAGACTAACATGTCTAGCGGAGCCATTAATCTTTTGTTTGTGCATTGGGGTCTATTTAGGGGTATTTGGAGGGGACTCAAGAAGGGAGGGGTTTACTATAGAACCCTATGGGATTTTTATATTTTTAAATTTTCAAATGACTCAGTAGGTGATAGACACATGCAGTCTTCAGTAATGAGAACAGGACAATACAAAAAAATCAACCAAAATATAGGGTGAGTCCCTGGGGGTCATCCCAACACCCTTCAATTTGAAGATGTACTTTATAATAATTTGGGGGAGTCCCCAGTACCGTCCCACCCCCTCCTGTTTGAGAACTTGGAAATAGTCAAGATCCCCACCCCTAAACCATATATATTCATGTATGGGACAATAAAACAAATCAAAAATGAAATATAGAGAGTCCCTGGGGTCACCCCAACCCCTCCTGTTTGAGAACTTGTAAACGGTCGAGATCCCCACCCCTAAACCATATATATTCATGTATGGGACAATATAACAAATCAAATGAAATATATGGGGAGTCCCTGGGTTACCCCAACCCCTCCTGTTTGAGAACTTGGAAATGGTTGAGATCCCCACCCCTAAACCATATACATTCATGTATGGGACAATAAAACAAATCAAATGAAATATAGGGGGAGTCCCTGGGGACACCCCCGCCCCTCCTGTTTGAGAACTTGTAAACAGTCAAGATCCCCACCCCTAAACCATATATATTCATGTATGGGACAATATAACAAATCAAATGAAATAATGGGGAGTCCCTGGGGTCACCCAACCCCCTCCTGTTTGAGAACTTGTAAACGCTCGAGATACCCACACCTAATATATATTTACTTGAATGGGACAATAAAAGAAATCAAATGAAAATAATTTGGGGGAGTCCCCAGTATCGTCCCACCTCCTCCTGTTTGAGAACTTGAAAATGGTCAAGATCCCCACCCCTAAATCATATATATTCATGTATGGGACAATAAAACAAATCAAAAATGAAATATAGAGTGAGTCCCTGGGGTCACCCCACCCTCTTCTGTTTGAGAACTTGTAAACGGTCGAGATCCCCACCCCTAAACCATATATATTCATGTATGGGACAATATAACAAATCAAATGAAATATAGGGGGAGTCCCT